GGCATGTGGTGCTGGGGGATTGAACCGCGGTCCCTGATGCTTTTGCTAAGCTTGTTCTAAGTAGGTGCTTTAGACCACTGAGCCATCTCTCCAGCCCGAGTTTGGAATTTTTATGAGGGCTTGTGAAAACCAAAAGCACAGTTACCCCTCCCATGCTGTTGTTCTGAATTTTTAATTTCATAGTACGCATTCCCCCGTGTAATTAGGGTCATTACACTCTGGCAGCTGTGTGTCTGTGCAGGCATAGGCGCTGGTGCAGGGAGAGGAGCCACGGGCCCCCGGGCTCCGGGAAGGATGGGAGGGGCAGCCAGGGAGCAGAAGGAGATGCCCATGGGTGACAAAATTGTCTTTGTACAGGAACTAGAGTCGCCCCTAAGGAGCCCGAGGAAGCAGAGCTGCTTCAGGAGGGCTGTGGGATGTGACAGCTGAACGCTGTGGTTGGACTCCACCTTCTAGCACCACGGGTCATCCTTAAAGGCCTAAGGAGCACAACCATTTACAAGGGATGTGGAGATAGCTCAGTGACACAGTGCCTGCCTGGCAAGCTTGAGGTCCTGAGCTCAATTCCCGGTACCAAACCAAACCCTTTAGCGCTAGAGTAGGCTGGGGCCCACAAGCGGGCCAGGGGCCCTGACCCTTTGGGCCTGCCCTCAGGAGGCTGCACTAGCTGGCCTGGGACCCCATTCTTCCCGGTGCACCTGCCTCATGTATTTTTTCTTACAGGGAGAAAATGTGAACTCCTACAAGTTCCAAGTAGGAGCCTTTGGATAAATCTGGCAAGCGTGGTGAAGGCCTGTGTGTTGGGAAGTGGGAAGCTCCTCAGGGAGCTTCTGGGGGACACGCTGTGTTTCTGGGGGCCGAGTCTGCTCATGCAGATGGCGGTCCTCCATGTGCACATTCAGTGCAGTCCCAATAGAAACCCTCAAAAATTATTTCGTTGACATAGACCAAGATTTCATAGTTTATGTGGTGAGGGAAAGATCCAGAATAACCAGTGCGATTTTGAAGGAGAACAAGGACAATAGGATGCCCAGCAGGTCCTGCTACAGGCAGGGGTGCAGGCAGGATACCAGGAGGCCTGGACCACAGAGCGTTCCCACCCTGCTTGGTTCACTTTCTTTCCTATACATAGTGCCTGTGAGCAAATTTAATTACAAAGTAGATACAATTAGAAATTAACAGCAACAGTAAATAGGACAATTAGCTGGGTGTAGTGGCGTGTGCCTGTGACCCCAGCACTGGGGTGGATGAGGCAGGAGGATCCTTGCGAGTTCGAGGCCAGTCTGGATACAAAGTGAGGTCAAGACCAACCTGAACTGTATAGCAAGCGAGACCCTGTCTCAATAAGACAGAAAGGAAAAAAAGAATCCTACTGTACGACAGCGCCCCCGTCTGGTAGTCATATGCGATGACTGCAGTGCGGGGCGTGGAAGCCGGGAGTAAGGCCTGTGTGTGTGTGTGTGTGTGTGTGCACACACGCATCCCACAGTGAGACAGCACTGTGCACTTAGAACAGTGGGGAAATGGGGGCGCTGACAGCACCAGGTGCGGCTGACAACCCAGTAGTCATGCCTCTTGGTAGTTACCTGAAGGGATCTGGAAAGTTCCATCCCCAAACCCTACACGTGGGCATTTGCAATCAAGACGCTGTGTGATAGATGAGTGGGTAATAAACCGGTGCACAGGGAGCAGGAGGAGGCCCCCGCAGAGCTGTGCAGCCGCGAGCGGTGCGTGACCTGCAGAGGCCCACGCGCGCCGCCGCACACACCGTCCACACCGTGGGCTGAGCCGAGCTGCTCTGGTGGGGTGTTGGGATGGGGAGAACGCGAGGCTGCATGTTGTATGGGAGAAAGACGGGGAACCTGCGCTCCACCTGGCTGTGAGCCTGAACCATACCTGGCGTCTGTTGAAACAGCTACCTGTAGACCCAGCTGCAGGCGAGGCTGAGACAGGAGGCTCCTTGGGTCTAGGACTGTGAGACGGGCCTGAGCAACACAGTGAGCCCCAATCTCAAAATTAGACCCCATGGTAGGTAATGAATGAAGTACTGAAATTAAAAAGCAGATATAATCAAAACTGATTTTTAAAAGCAAGATCCAGGTATGTGTTATGTCTAAGCGAAATTCATATATATATATTCATATTATATATAATGTATTTGGTTGTTGCAGGGTCTCGCTATGCAGCTTGGACTCATAGTGATCCTCCTGTTTCGGCCTCCCCAGTGCTGGGATTACAGACTTGCGCCACCATGCGCAGACTCCGTGGCCCACTCAGCCCACCCTGGGGGCAGGGCTGGCACAGCTTGCGGAGCAGGGGATCGAACCGCGGCCCCTGTGCTTGCCTAAGCAAGCGCTTTAGTCCACTGAGCTCTCTCGCTGGCCCCCTAAGAGAAATTGTTAACCTGTAAAAACAAAAAAATGAATAGAACATTGTACGCCAATCTGTAAACTAGGAAAGTGAGTGCGGCTATTTTCATGTTAGATTAGTTCAAGACAATAAAGTAACAGGAAGGAACTTTCTTTTTTTTTTTTCTTTGAAACAGGCTTTCACTTTGTAGTATGGGTTGGGCTTAAACTCACTGTGTAGCCCAGGCTGGCTTTGAACTCGCACCACCACCCTGGCTGAGCGTGCTAGGGGTGGGGGGCGCGGCCGGCACTGCATGTGGTACTAGGCCTCGAACCCGAGTCCCTCCACTTGCCTAAGCAGGCGCTTAGTCCTCTGAGCTATCTCGCTGGCCCAAGGAGGAAAAATTTCATATTGATGTAATGATCAATTTACATAATATACATATCCATCATGTGTATGTTTTTTTATGTGTATGTTTTTAAAAACCTGAAATTACACAAAACAAAAAGATGGAATTAATGGAAGGGAGAACATTCTTCACAGTTGAGGACTGATAGATCTGAAAACATGACCAACTGCCTTACTCTGTTTGATATTTGTGGAATAAAACATCGGATGTCTTCAGGATAGACACCCTTTTCACCTGCTGTGTTCACCAAGGTCTTGAACTCCACGAACCTGTGTTGTCTGTACTCTGAATCTTGGGACAAGAAGCTGAAGGTTCTCACAATTTATTACTTGTTCGGATTATTTAGGAGAAATTAACATGCTGTTTCTACAGAAATGGATAACATGTTAAAGTAAGGTCATTAAAATCCTTATAAAGTGTTAAAATAAATTTTTGTAGGTGCAGAAATACCCAAAGAATCATCTGCCTAAAACCACGCAGAGCAAACATGAACGATATTTCCCAAAAGGCGGAGGTAAGTCTCAAAAGCTTATTTTTTCATTGTAAAAAAGTGAAGTATAAGGTTGACTTTAGCGTGACTGCAAAGGCACTCATTTGATGGAAAGCTCACAATGAGCAAAATAATGTCAAGATGAGAGATAAGAAAAGCTACGATGCACAGGCTGTGCTGGGGCCGTACTTTCGTTTGGGGTCCAGGAAGCAGGATTGCTAAGCTTGGGAGGAGTAGTGGACTGGCTTGATAGCTCCTGGAGCACAGTTGTAAATGTCTTGGGGAGCCTGTGTTAAATTTTTTTTTTTTTAACCTACATTCACAGGAGAAAGTGATAGTTGATTCTTATGTGAGGACCCTCTCATCTTATTTAGTTTTTTTCCCCCATAATTTTATTGAGAAACAAATAGCAATGAGACAGTTTCAAACCAAATTGGTAGGGCAGTTTCAATAATTAACACATTGCATACTTTCTTCCTAGTGGTTAATTGCTGTACAAGATGTGGACATGATATCCTATTTACAAACACCATTAGAGCAAATCCCTCTATTCATTAAGAGAATGTAACTATATCTATCCTAACCACTTTGAATACACAGATACAAAATGGACATTCATCTGTATCCCCTTTTTTTGTTTAGTTCCGTCATTTGAATATTATAGGTGTGTAAACTCAGCAAAATATTCTAAAAGAGTCCAGTAGCCCATAATAGTATTGGGTCTTCTGCTTCACTGGCAATGTCAGAAATTGTTGACCTGAGTCCCCTACAGCTCAACATAACAGCGTGGCTTTACTTCTTATACTTCGTTTTTATACTTTTTGCTGAATGGTTAAGACCAAGGTAAAGCAGGACCTATGCAACAAGAGTTGTAGCTTTTGGGTCTGATAAGGTCAGTGAAATCCCCTCAGGATTTATGCTGAGATCCTGTACCTCAGATTGCAGAAACTTTGTCAGTGTCAGTCATCTGGATGAGTCACGGTCATTGCTTGGCTCATCTTATTTACTTTAAAAAATCTTTTTAATTAATTAATTGATTTGGTATAGCGTCTCACTACACAGCTCGGGCTTTTAGTGATCCTCCAGCCTCTGCCTCCCCAGCGCTGGCATATTCCACGTGTATGCCACCACACCCGGTTTCCAGTCAGCAGGGCATACAGGACATGGGGTACTGGGGATCGAACCTGGGTCCTTGCACCTGCCAGGCAAGTGCTATGACTTGAGTCTCCCCAGCCCCTTATTTATTTATTTTGAGACAGGGTCCCACTATGCAGTTCAGGCTGGCCTTGAGCTCACTTTGTAGCCTAGGCTGGTCTCAAACTTCCGACGATCCTCCTGCCTCAGCCTCTCCAGTGCTGAGATTATAGGCATGTATCACCACATTTGGCTGAGGACCTTTATTTTATTTTTTTGTATTTTTAGGGAAGGGTCTACAGGGTGTTCAGGGTCTCACTACTGGATGGGACTCATAGTGATCTGCCTCTTTACAGCTTCTCAAGAGCTGGGATTGCGGGCACACGCCACCACACCCAGTCTCAGACCTTTTTTTTAATACCTGCAGTAATTTTTCTCTTTGGTTTTGTTATAAGTACTGAGAATTTTAAAATGAGCTCAGTTCCTGATACCCTAAAATGAAAAAGTTAAAAAAGCCTTTGCTGGGAAGGCTGAGACAGAAGGATTCCTGCGAGTTTGAGGCCAGCCTAGACTAGCGGGCTCAAGGCTAGCCTGAAGGGCATAGCAAGACCCCTTCTCAGAAAACAAAACAAACAAAAAAAGCCTGACCTTGGTGCAGTGGTGCATGGGAGGCTGAGGCCGCCTGGGCTACAGGCTGAGTTCTAGGGCATTCACATCCAGATCAGAAATGAAGCAGGGCAATAAAATACAGATTATTTTCTCATTGGGTTTCAGTTTTTGATGTGATGTTTTATCGGTGTTCAGTGAAACGTTACTCAGTGGGACTTCTTTCCTTAAGAATTTTATGCTAATAAAATTTCTCCTATTTTCTATGGTTTTGATTTCCATACTGCGGTTGTAGCAATTATCTAATCAGGTTGGGATAGTCCAAATAAATGTTTCAAGCTCTTTTCTACTTTGTGCTTCAATAAATATTTCTATATTGCTTATTCTTATCTTTACCTAATTTTTTCCTATCTTTTTTTTTTTTTTAACTTTCTTCTCTTTATTTTCTTCTAACGAAGATTCTGCTTTCTTCGTCTAAACCTGTCTCCAAGTCCTATGTGCCCAAACTTGGCAAGGGTGATGTAAAAGATCAATTTGAAGCCATGCAGAGGGCCAGGGAAGAAAGGAACCAGAGGCGATCTAGAGACGAAAAGCAAAGAAGAAAAGAACAGTACATTAGAGAGAGAGAGTGGAACAGGAGAAAGCAGGAGGTTGTGTTCTTTTATTCTTGTGCTAACGATCAGTTTCACCATTTAACTTTACATTTCACTGAATGTTATTATTTAATATGCAGAGTTACCTTTCGTATCTGTGGGAACGGCAGGATTTTCCTGTATTTGGAAGCTCACTTACGGTCAGCATACAGAGTAGGAGCCTTGTCTGCATTTGACTTTTTACTGTGTCAGTGACCTGTAGTTATTCTTGGTCTGAAAAATTAAAGGGACAATTAAGTACTAAACAACTCATAAAGTCTAATCATGCTTGATTTCAGACGTGGTGATGATGGTTTTTATTTTCCTGTATTTAGGGAAGGGTCTACAGGGTGCTCAGGGGCTCACTACTAGATCGGACTCGTAGTGATCCTCCTGTTTACAGCCTCCCAAGAGCCAGGATTACAGGCGCGCGCCACCGTGCCCAGTGTCAGTCGCCATCTCAGCGCACTCGGCCCGCACGGCAGCCCCGGGATCTAATCTCTGGCCCCCGCGCCTGCTTGTGGGCGCTTTAATCCGCTGAGCTAGTTGGCCGGCCTTTAATTGTTCCACTTTGTAATGAGCCATTGCTCCTGTCTTTCCCAGCATGATTTAGAAATGTGGGGCGCAGTCCCTACAGCTGAGCCCCAGGGGCGGTGCAAGGCGCCCCTAGCAGAGGATGGGACCGTTGGTATTTGGGGACCTGTGTTTACTCTGCTTTATGTAACTATCTAGATTAAGGACCTGCTTGCTTCTGAGGAGGAGGAAGTATCTTCCAAAGTCGAAAAGGCTTATGTGCCCAAGCTGACAGGTAAGAAGCCAGCGGGGCCAGTTATAAATGAAATTGCAAACAAAGAAACAGCAAAAGTAGCAAACGCTGTTCGTGTGTTCTTAGGTACTGTGAAAGGCAAATTTGCTGAAATGGAGAAACAGAGGCAAGAAGAACAAAGGAAGAGGACAGAGGAGGAGCGGAGACGCAGAATCGAGCAGGATATGTTAGAAAAGAGGAAAATCCAGCGGGAGCTGGCCAAAAGGGCTGAGCAGGTAGGTGCTCTGTGCTAAGTAGGAACGTGCTTCTGAAACTGATTTTCCAAACGAAAACTAATCCGTATGTCACCTACTTAAAATACTTTAATGCAATGTAAACCTATTAATAGCAGCTAACCTAAAAATCAATTAAGTAAAGATACCTCAGTATTCAAATCTTGTAGTCATTAATATTAACATTCATCTTGCAGTGAAATTATATGAGAATTAATATAAACATAGGTAATATTTTAGAAGTTACAAAATAGGAGAATAAGGGGGCATGGCCCTAGCTCAGGCCTTTAAGTGGCTGCTTCCACAAAGCTCTCAGCCTCAGGTTGCTGGAGTTCGAACCTCACAACTCTCCCGCTGGCCAAAAGTGCCCTGAAGCCATTCGAGGAACAAAAAAAAAAAAAAAAAAAAAAAAAAAAAAAAGAAAAAAAAAAAAAAAAAAAAAAAAAGGAGAATAAAATATCTAATTAAAAGTATATGGTGTTTGGCAGAAAATAGTGCATTTGTATCTGAAATTAGTCTACTTTTAATTTTTGTTTTTAATTTTTTGTTGTTGGTCCTGGGCATTGAACTTTCGACCTCATGCAGGCAGGTGCTGTGCCATTGAGCTGTGGCCCCAGCCTTTGTTTTTAATTCTTTTCTTCATACATATTAATTACATGGAATAATAGTATTGTGACATTTTCATACATGCGTATAACATACCCAGTGTCAGCCTCTCTCCCATTACACTCCCTTTTTTTGTTGTTAGAGAAAAATCTCGCTATGTAGTTTGGGCTGGCATTAAACTGACTCTATACCAAAGCACTCCAGTAACTGCAGAGTAAGTTACTGGGACTCGCAGAGACCCTCCTGACTCAGCCTCCTGAATCCTGGGGTTACAGATGTGCTCCACAGGGTTCAGCTACCTCTTTTCAGTTCTGGGTCCACTTACAGAACTCAGAGACTTCAGAGCCACTGCACCCTGGAAGTAGAATACACAGGCAGTGTTGTTGTTGTTTTAATTGTCTGTGTGGGCTGTGTTTGGTGCATGCCTGTGATCCCAGTACCCAAAAAGCTGAGGCAGAAGGATCACTGAGTGAGTTTGAGGTCAGCCTGTTCTACACAGTGAGACCCTGTCTCAAAAAAAAAAAAAAAAAAAAATTGTTTGTGTTGAAAAGTGAGTTTGAATATGATGAAGACAGAATTTTCAGAGCATGATGGAGACAAAATAGCCTAAAAAAGAACCATTTTCTTTAGTTACTCCAAATACCTGCTGCATGGCAGAGGGCCAGAGAATCCCGGTTCACAAAACTTGGGGCCTGTTAAACTAAGGAAATGTAGGCAGATAAGAGTATTAAAAGCACTTTCTTCTTGCAAATATGTAAAGCTTAATTTTAAAAATCTAAGCACCTTTTCCACTCAGATCTAATCTAATCCACTGTATCTTTGCCTACAAGGTGTAAAAAGTGTGAAGACAGCCGGGAGTCTCCGTGCCGGGTCACAGGCTCCAGCTCACACATCTCTATGCAGGAAGGTTGTAGACAGGATTTCTGCACTAGGGGGCAGGGGACGAATGAATAGTTGCCAAGGAATTACTGGCTCTAAGATTTGAGGATCTAGAGTTGGATTAAAATTGGATGTGACTTGCGTATTGGATATTTATTTATTTATTTATTTATTTATGTCTTTTTGAGACAAGGTCTTGCTATACAGCTCAGGCTGGCCTTGAGTTCACTTTGCAGCCCAGAATGGTCTCAGACTTGCAAGGATCCTCCTGCCTCAGCTTCCTGAGTGCTAGGATTACATGCATGTTCCACCGTACCCTGCTGTATTGAATGTTAATTTTTTTTTTTTTTTTTTTTTTTTTTTGAGTTGCTGTGTAGTTCAGGCTGCCCTTGCATTCACTATGTAGCCCAGGCTGGCCTTGAACTTGTGGCGATCTTTCTGCCTCAGCCTCCCAAGTGCTGCTGAGGAAAAAATCTTGACTTGATATTATGTGGTTATTTTTAAAGCTATCCTGATGGGCAAAATTAAAGCCTGTCAATTTAGAAAGACAAGACATTGGTGGGGGAGGGATCTTGAAATGAGAAGGGGCAAAGGAAACTGACCTGGGAAGAGGCAAGAGCCGTTTTCTTTTTGTAAGGTCAGAGTGGGATGTGGTTCCTTCATGGTAGCTTCTTTCTTTTCTTTTTTTTTTTTTTTTTTGCAGAACTGGGGATTGAACTCAGGCCTTTGTGCTTGCCAGGCAAGCACTTATTCTACTGAGCCATCTCCCTAGCCCCTTTCATAGTAGTTTCTGAAGGTCAGCATCACTCACAATCGACCCTTGAAGATCTGTTCTCTGTGAACACACTGACACCAGGGCCCCTTCTGCGAATTCATGTTTTTCTTTGTTTACTGAAGAAAATTCTTCTTCTATCTTCTGCTATTTTGGCGATGGTTTAAAATGAGCAAAGGAAAACCCACTGCAGAATTGTCTTGTCCTAAGCTAAGAGGGATCAGAGAAGGATGCTGCAGTAAGGAACAGAAAGTCCGGACCAGACACTTGGCCTTTCTCTGTCCCACAGGCTTGGTGTCAGGTTCCTCGACAGACATCTGGGATCTTCTGTAGTGAAGGAAATTATTCTGGAGATGGTTATTTATTTATTTATTTCCTGGTACTGGGAATTGAACTCATGACATCAAACTTGCCAGGCAGGCACTGTAGGAAATTATTCTGAACAGAATCACTTTGTAGTTCGCAAAATCATTCTGAAATAATAATAACAATTATTCTTGTTTTGGTGTTTTGAAACAGGGTCTCACTATGTAGTTCAGGCTGGGCTCAAATTTGCAGCAATTGTCTTGCCTCAGCCTCCTGAGTGCTGGGATTACAGGCAAATACTACTATGCCTGACTTTTTTTTTTAATGGAACCAGGGATTGAACTCAGGCCCTTGCGCTTGCCTGGCAAGCGCTTATTCTACTGAGCCATCTCCCTGGCCACTATGCCTGACTTCTTAATGGATTTTAAAAAATAAATTATGAAAGTATAAAGTAGAATTTTTTTTTTTTTTTTTTTTTTTTTTTTTTTGTGGAAATGGGGATTGAACTCAGACCCTTGCGCTTGCCAGGGAAGCACTTATTCTACTGAGCTATCTCCCTGGCCCCTAAAGTAGACTTTTAAGATAGATGATTTATGTAGAATAATTTACTAAAATTGGGCATTTGAATAAAACATATTGGGGCCGGCCAAATAGCTCAGCAGATTAAAGTGCCTGCAAGCAGGCACAGGGGCCGGGGTTCAATCCCCGGGGCACGCATCGCCATCTCAGCGTGCCCCCAGCATTCCCCGTATTTTTCCAGAACTGGGGATTGAACTCAGGCCCTTGCACTTGCCAGGGAAGCGCTCATTCCACTGAGCCATCTCCCTAGCCCCAATGTTACACTTTCTTAAGGTCCCTATTTCACTCCTGCCCATGTTTCCTATGTTTTGTTCCAAGATCTCAAGCACTGAGTGTGAAAGCAGAGATCGTCCTTTGGTTCTTACTGTGGAAAGCAGGGTGGGCTGCTCTTCAGCCAAACTAGCACGTTTTTATGAGTGATGGCCACAGGGACCTGCACTGATTGCGGCCCTGGGGTCTGAACTCGGGCTCTGCACGGAGCTCCAGCCCCAGCTCTTTTACCAACTTCCCAGGCTGGCTGCACCTTGCAAACCCCCTGCGTCAGCCTCCCACCCCTGGGATCATGGGCATGTGCCACTGTGCCCAGCTGACCGCTCACTTTTTAAGTAAGGGTTTTCCTTTTTAGATCTGGTCAAAATACAGAGAAACCAGTGTAGATTCTAGAAGTCTTTTTCCTTCTAAATAAGCCTATACGTTCAAAACAAAACAAAACAAAACTTTTATTTATGTATTCAGCGCAGGGTCTCGCTATGCGGCTTAGACTCAGTGCTCCTCCTGTCTCAGCCTCCTCAGCACTAGGATTACAGGTGTGCACCACCATGCCTGGTCTTGGTGGCTGGCTCAGCACGCCTGGGCTTCCAGAGGTGGCACAGCATACAGTACCAGGGATCAAACCCAGGTCCTTGCTCTTGCCAGGCAGGAGCTGAGACTGTCCAGCTATCTTCCCAGGCCTACCCTCTACATTTTATCACATTTTATTATCACATCACTTATATTTTTATTGTAAATATAATCATGACAATTATTTCATTGCTGATGATAAATTTTCCTTTCGTCGGGGCAGGGCAAATAATGGAAGAGTGTTTCTGTGTATTTCAGTTTACATTGCTAATAGAATTTGTAAGTCCTGCTGGTAAACTCACAGCCAGGCCAGAGTCTGGCCCATTATTCAGTTTCCAGATTCACAAAGGTAGGTTTTATCCTAATTTTTTCTTAATGTACTGTTCCCTGGATATTGACATCAAGGTGACAAATTAAAGGTTTAATCTCCATTTAAAAGGATATTTGGGGCTGGGGAGATGGCTCAGTGGAATAAGCACTTCCCTGGCAAGTGCAAGAGCCTGAGTTCAATCTCCAGTTCTGCAAAAAAAAAAAAAAAAAAGTTAAAAGGACATTTGGAGCTGGACGTGGTGGCATACACCTGTGATCCCAGCACTCGGGAGGCTGAGGCAGGAGGATCATTATGAGTTTGAGACCAGCCTGGGCTACAAAGTGAGCTCAAGGCCAGCCTGAGCTGCATAGTGAGACCCTGTCTTAAAAATACAAATAAAATAAGTAAAAATCAAAATAAAAGGACATTTGGCTAACTTGGAATGATATAAAATGTTTCAACGATTATTACACATTTGAAAATTAAGTCACAACTAAATTAGTGTTCATTCATATGTTTAAAGGCAACAAGCAGAAATCCAGTGTAACGTAATGATATGAAATTCTCATTCAATAGATTGAGGACACACACAGTTCGGCAACTGAATCAGGATCAGAGGTAAAAACACATTCCCTTTCATGAAATGCACACCTCAAAGTATCTGATTCACACATGATCTTGTAACCTAAGACAAAAACCTGGAGGGACTTTTAACTCGTTTTATTTTCAATATAACAGTAGCTACGAAAGGGAGAAGTCCGTCTTGCTAAGGCAAGATGATAGTTTTGTACTTTCCAACTCTACAGCTTAGCATATTTAGGGATGAATGTTTTCGCTCTTACAGTTAGTTTAGAAAAGCAAGGCTCAGTTTGGGACACTCTGCCAAGACTGTATCTTTCTTGAATTGTTACTAACACTTGAGATTGTCGAAAGCTAACACCTTATTTTATTTTTTTGAAAGCTAACATTTTAAAGACAATTTTCTTTTGTCTTCTTCTCCTCAGTGCTGACCGTCTGTGCTTTAGTTTTCTGCGCTAGCAGACTGCCATGTGTCTGCCACGGACGGACAACCATGCTCCAGTCACCTCTTCTGATCTAACAGAGAATGTTAAAAATCAAACAATTTGATGGTGTGCCTAGGCTACAGCCACAAAAATTGGCAGTGTCTAAGTGCTTGCACTACGTTTTCTTTGTGTGTGTGTGTGGTACCAGGGATCGAACTTGGGAACCTGTGCTTACCAGGCAGGCGCTTAAGCCAGTGAGCTATCTCCCAGCCCTTGTACTGCATTTTATAATCCTCTTATTTCTGAGAAAAGTTAAAAGCAACAATAGATTATGTGGGCCAGGGAGATGGCTAAGTAGAATAAGTGTTTGCCTGGCAAGCGCAAGGGCTTGAGTTCAATCCCCAGTTCTGCAAAATAAAATTAAAAAAAAAAAAGACTGTGTTAGGGCTAACAAATGAATTAAAAATGAAAAAGAATATTTTAATCAATAAAATATTGAGGATTTTTAAATCCATACTGCAAATGTTTAATCAACAGTTGGCTATCACATTTTTTAAAAAATTAAACACTATTATTATCAAGTATTTGAAAACCTGCATGAAGAATCATATGAAGCGGGGCTGGGGAGATAGCTCACTGGAATAAGCACCTGCCTGGAAAGCACAAGGCCCTGAGTTCAATCCTCAGTACCACACAAAAAAAAAAATAATAATAATAAAATAGAAAAAGAACCATATGAAGGGACCGTCCAAATAGCTCAGCAGACTAAAGCGCCTGCTTAGGCAGAGCACAGCGGCCGGGTTCGATCCCCGGGCCTGCCATGCTGGCCCCAGGGTGTGCGGAGAGGGTGATTGAGATTATCCCAGCAATTGGGAGAATTGGGCATGGTGGCGTGTGCCTGTAATTATAGCTCTTGGGAGGCTGAAAACAGGAGAATCACCACGAGGAGAATCTGCTCTACGTAGTGAGATCCTGTAGACCCTTTACTAAATACATTAAGAAAAAAAAAAAAAGAATCATACGAAGAAACTTCTCTGTGTTTCAACTGAATCCATCCACCATCAAATTGGTTTAGAGCCCACTCATCTGCACATTAGCTGGTGCGGGGCTACGGCGACTCAGCTGGCTGTGCCACTACAATTTTGTCATCTGATTAGTTACCTTAACTCCACCTTCTAGGGACTGGAATGCTTCTTGACCCTTGTCAGCAATGGATTGCACTAAGATTAGCTAATAATGCACAGGGAATTTCAAGAAGATATCTGAAAGTAATTAGTAAGAAATATAATCTTTTGTTTTTCATAATAACATTGACAGCAATGTCATGAAATTCACCAGTGATGGAGGTAAAGTTCCCTAAGGCCTGAATTTTTATGAAGAAGATATATTAATTATCTCTCTTGTACAATAGGAAGGAGATGAGTCACTGCTCATCACAGTGGTACCTGTCAAATCATACAAAACATCTGGAAAAACGAGGAGGTTTGAGGATCCAGAAAAAGCAGAGAAGGAAAGACTCACATGTGACGAAGACACAGTAGGACACGAAGAACAGCGATGCTCTCTCAAGGAAGCCAAGTGCCTCTCGTCGGTCATGGTAATTTTTTTTGAAGAACAAGTTAAAATAGTTCAGTTAGCAGCATTTCCCTTGATGGATAACAGGTAGATTTCATGTCTTTCTAGGATGATGAAATGGAAAGCGAAACGAGGAAAGAATCACGTTTTCCTGGAAAACTGAAGTTGACTTTCGAAGAACTGGAGCGACAAAGACAAGAAAACCGAAAGAAGCAAGCAGAAGAGGAAGCCAGACAGCGCTTAGAGGAAGAGAAACGAGCCTTCGAAGAAGCCAGGCGGCAGATGGTGCAGAATTTACTACTGAAATCTTGTGTTTTATTTTTAAAATCTTTTATTTATATATTTATTTGGTACAGGGTCTCACTACACAGCTTGGACTCATAGTGATCTTCCTGTCTCAGCCTCCCCAGCGCTGGGATTACGGGGCGTGGTGGTCTTGGTGGGACAGGCCAGCCCAGCGTGTGGTTCTGGGGATCAAATCAGGGTCCTTACGCTTGCCAGGCAGGTGCTTAGACCATCGAGCTATCTCTCCAGCCCTTTATGTTTTATATTAACTAGGGAAGTTAGCTAGCTTTAGATAAAGGTTATTACCATATAGTTAAGTGGGCATCAAACTGAGGTCCTGTGCTTGCCAGGCAGGTGCTTGTGCCACTGAGCTATCTCCCTGGCCCAAGGGCTTGATTTTTATAAAATATGTAGTATCTGATGCATCTGCATTGCTTTTAGTTTTGGGGCATTTTATATGTTTTGAATTTTTATGCTATTAATGTATGTGTGCAATGCATTTAGTGTTGTAGGTTCACATATGAAATCCTAGCACTTGGGGGCTGGGGATATAACTCATTGGCATAAGTGCCTGCCTGGCAAGTGCAACGTCCTGAGTTCAATCCTTGGTACAAAAAAAAAAAAAAAAAAAAAATCCTAGCACTCAGGAGGCTGAGGCAGGAGGATCGCTGTGAATTCAGGGACATCATCCTGGGCTACAGAGCAGCAAAATGCTGTCTCAGAAAGACCAAAACAAAAACTAAAGAACAGGAACAAGGTATTGATCACAAGGCACGGAATTAGCTGCTTCAGAGAGGAATGTTTAATTCCCTTCAGATACTTGGCCAAAATCCCCTTCTCTTTTACCATGGGAAAAATATTCTACATAAGATAAAATACTTATCTTATTGGGAAAAAATCCAAATAAAGATTTACTCAAGTTATATAAAACTTCTCAACCAAATCAAGTTTTTTTTTTAATTTGGTGATACCAGTTATCGAATTTAGGACCTTGTGCTTGACAGGCAGGCACTTGTGCCACTGAGCTATTTCCCCGACTCAAAGTTTTTTTTTTTCCAAATCAAGTTTATTTAATTAAATTAAATTTATTTATTTATTTATTGGCAGAACCAGGGATTGAACTCAGGCTCTTGCGCTTGCCAGGGAAGTGCTTATTCCACTGAGCCATCTCCCCAGCCCCCAAATCAAGTTTAAACAAAATGAATTACTTCAGAAAGTTTGAAGGGGACACTTTGAACATTAAGTCAGACATAAACTGTATGAGCAGGTACTGAATACTTCACTTGAGCCTTAAGTGTGCCCACAGGGAGCCTTTTTGGTATAATAAACTGAAGTCGCCATTTTTTAATTTTTAAGGAATTTTTTCCTTTAAAAATTCATATTTAAATTTCAATTCATATTTAAATGAAATACAAAATCATGAAAATTGAATATTTTGTTTGCTTTTGGTGGGGCTGACATCAAACCCAAGGCTGTGGGATAGGCAAGCGCTCTAGTGCTGAAGAACAACCCGGCGCAGGTTAGAACTCTATAAAGGGCCGGCCCATAGCGCAGCGGACCAAAGCGCCTGCTCAGGCGAGCGCAGCAGCAGGTTCCACCCCAGCGGGCTGGCCGCCGCGGGCGCGCTGAGACCTCCACTGAGACCAGGCGTGGTGGCGCGCCTGTAATCCCAGAGGTTAGGAGGCTGAAAAACAGGAGGATCACTATCGGTTGGATCTATGTAGTGAGACGCTGTAGACCCTGTGCTAAAATACAGGAAGGAAAAAAAAAAAAAAGAATCTCTATAAAACATTTCTAGGTAATCTGATGAGCATGAGGGATGTGTCATAGTTCTCAGGGAAAAGGATTCCTTAAAAATTAAAAACACCACCACTTCGTTTTACAACCAAAAAGGCTCCCTGTGTGCACACTTCAGGCTCAGATGGAGTACTAAGTACCTGCTCATACAGTTTATGTCTGAGTTCATGTTCAGTGTAACTCCTTCAAGAGTTTTGAAATAATTCATCTTGTTTAAACTTGATTTGAAGAAAGAAAAAAGGAAACGTGATTTGATTGAGTAGTTTTATTTAACTTGAGTAAATCTTTATTTGGAATTTTTCCCATTTTAAGTATTTTATCTTATGTAGATTTTTTCCTATGAAGAGAAGGGGATTTTGGCCAAGTATCTGAAGGGAATTAAATACTCCTCTCTGAAGCAGCCAATTAAACACTCCTCTCTCTGAAGCAGCTAATTCTGTACCTTGTGATCAATACCTACCTTGCTCCTGTTTTTTACTTTTTGTTTTTGTTTTGGTCTTTCTGAGGCAGCGTTTTGCTGCTGTGTAGCCCAGGCTGTCCCTGAACTCAGAGATCCTCCTGCCTCAGCCTCCCGTGAGCTAGGATTTCATGCCCAGCATCTTTTCTGTTAACCTCAGTCTTGGTAATGAATTGTTTCCTTGGTTAGGCAAATGAAGAGGAGGACAACCAAGACCCCAAAAAAACGTTTCACGAGTACCGTCCCGGTAAACTCAAACTCAGTTTTGAGGAAATGGAAAGACAGCGGAGAGAAGAGGAAAGAAGGAAAGCAGAAGAAGACGCCCGGAGGAGAATAGAGGACGAAAAGAGGGCCTTTGCGGAAGCGAGGAGGAGCATGGTGAGAGCCCGCCCTGCTCGGCTCTGCGGGGCGCCGGTGGTCTAGGACCCGGCGGGCAGCGGTGGCGCCGCGCAGGAGCAGAGCCGTGCGGCGTGCTTGGGCGGCGGGAGAAGGCGCCGACTGAGCGAGGCCTGAATACTTCCGGCCCCGGCCGCAGCTTCCAGGGCCGAGCGAGCGAGCGGCGGCGGCGGCGGCTGCGGCGTGGCAGCGGGGACGCCCCGCGCGCTGCCGCCTCCCTGCGTCCGCGCGTCCTCCTCGCATCCTTTCTTTGCAGTTTCCTTTCCTCCAGTGTGCGTTAAGCGAGGACTGCACATGCTCACCCCTCGCTCCCGGGCGTTGGCCCCTAACTGCACCAAGTGACCCTTTGGCGCTGACAGTGTTTTCAAGCAATTCGACACCTGGGCCCCGCATGCTTTTCTTGTTCCACTTTGACTGCAGCGGTAAACTATTTTTCTTCCTCTCCCTGCAGCTTCACACACACACACACACACACACACACACACACACACACACACGTTTGACTTATTCAGCTGCCTAAATGCACAGAGCAGAAACTTGGGAGCCTGAGACACTTAAGAGTTTTCCATCTTGCCTATAACATGAGGGTATTAATAACAGCCTTCATAAAGTTATAGGATTAAACTAAAAATGTAAATTGCTTGTAACCACCTAGAAGCTCTAATTAAATATTAATATTTCTTTAAAATTATGTTGGCAGCACATTAATCAGTATAATGAAATTTTCATATTTGATTATAAAAAAACTCATGATGCACTGTTTATTCAGAGAAGATCATAGCTTAACTGAAATGTTGCATTTTAGTTACCAGAATGGACACTAATTTTAACCCATTAAAATGTCTTTAGCATTAAAGAAATATTAATATTTAATTCAAATACTCCAAGTATTTTATGTTTATTGGCATGGAGAATAGACAGTTGCCATTTCTTCTGTAACCACAAAATGCCTTGTTTTCTAATAATTCTCTTATTTATTCCTTTTACATTTTCTAACAATTTCTCCCTCTTTTTTTTTTTTGTTTATTACTTTTGAACAGATTTTTTTTTAACAGAATTTTTGATCTGGGTTTTAGGTCAGTATGAAGCAGCCCAAGTAGTCCCAGTTTGCATAACTATTCTCCTTTTAGTATGTGGAAGGCAAAAATGATAATCCTTTTAAATAGGTAGCAGATGATGATTCTCCAGAGCTATATGCAACAATCTCTCAAGAATCTCTTACACCGGGAAAACTGGAAATTAATTTTGAAGAATTATTAAAACAAAAAATGGAAGAAGAAAAACGACGAACAGAAGAAGAAAGGAAGCATAAGCTAGAAAAGGAAAAACAAGAATTTGAACAACTGAGACAAGAAATGGGAGAGGTAAGATTTTAAGAAATATGCATTTTATGCCATTTGTAGTTAAGACTCTTTGCTTAGATGGCCTGTAGCAGCAGTGCATTTTTACCCATGGAGACACTCAGCAGCCCCTCGAGGCACAGACTTGGTACAGTGTGAGAGGTGGCGTAGATTTCTAGTCCGCTGCGACTCCACTCCTGCCCTGCTAGTTTGAAAAACCCATAAAGGGAGGCGAGGAGGCAGCTCAGTGGCACGTGTGAGGCACCGTGTTCGATCCCAAGCACACATCACACACACATATGTATTTTTTTCCCATATCAAAATGCGTCAAGCATTAAATTCAATGAATTTCAAAGCAGTCAAGTACCAAGATAGTATATGAATACATGTGCATGTAAGTTTGCAAGTGTTAGAGATACTAGTTGTCTTCTTTCTTCTTGTGGTCCTGGGAATTGAACTCACAACTTCACGCCAGCTAGGCAGGCACTGTGCGGCTAAGCTATATCCTGGGCCCCTGGAGATACTATAGTTTCTTAAGTAAATATTTCTTCTATAGCTCAAAATTGTGTGCAGCGGGTCAGGGGGATAGCCCCGCTGCATAAGTGGCCTGCTGGCAAGCTCAAGGCCCCGAGTTCAACCCCTGGTACTGGAAAAAAAAAAAAAAAAAATTGTGTGCAGGTCCACCATGATCTTGAGCTGTACTTAATATATTTATACAAAATTTTTCTTGAAATAGTTACATTTAATTAAAACCACAGGATGATAGATTTTAATAAATTCATCAATTTAGGAGGCATTTATTTTGAGGGTCTGGGACTGTGCCCAGGACCTTGCGTATTTGGAGCAGTCTACCACTAAGTCTCACTGAAAGGTGCTGGGATCACTTAATTATTCTGCGTGGAACTCTGATGCCGTTCAGTATCTGAGCATGCGCTGCCTGGTGTTGAGCTGCACGCAGTACACAGCTGTGCACACACAGGACCCCACGTCTAGAGGGCTGCATGGCAAGGATGAGGGGGTTGTACGTGAAAGCAGACTGGCCCACAGAGACGTTCCAAGCACGGGATGCCTGCTCAGCTATGTCCCGGTGCTGTCCTGAGGGGCTCTCGGTGGCCGCCTTCCCAAGGGCTTGCCTAGCCACCCTGTCTGGACACTGGTATTTCCTGTGGGCGGCCCAGGTTTTCCAGGCAGCAGAGGGGAAGGAGCGGAAGGAACCCGGGCAGTGCCAAGCTGGACGCAGGAATGGGGTCAGAGCCCCGGACCTGGGGCAAGGGTGAGCAGTGACTGTCCCTGCCTCAGAGTGGCAGTGCTAGGAACGCTTGGCAGGCAACGTGGGGGCTCCTTGCACCGGCTCTTGACCTAAGAGCCGCGTGGGTCTCCGGACAGTTGCTGGGGTGGTGCTTGTGGAAGCATTTTGCTTCCTACGCTGTTGCGCAGCCACCTGGTGGGCCCTGGAAGTTTAACTGTCATATGGATATAAAAGCATAAATACACGGTAGGAAAGTATTCCAAGGTTCACGCCCCCAAGTTTGATGACACTTCATTAGGGAAGCTGGAAACGAGCAGTCTAATTGTGAAAACTCACTTCTAGGAAGAGGTAGGGATTTACTGAACTAGAGTTCTAATATTAGTTTGGGCATTAATAGTGATGATTTAACTTTAAAGGATGATCATAAAACCAAAGGCGAAATTTTGGAGATACTCTGCCTCTATTATAGATGAAGAAAGTCATGCCCAGTGAGTGGGTTGAACTAGGCAGGAGGTCACATATCAAAATTGGAACCCGTATGTTAATACTAGCCTGGTGTTCTCTCCATACCAGTTCTTTCCCTTAATAAAAATCTTCCTATAATTCCTGGCAAACGTTAATCTTGCCAAGCACACTTTAATTTTAGATTATTATTAAAATGTTAGAGGGGGCTGGAGAGATGGCTCAGTGGTCTAAAGCACCTACTTGAAACAAGCTTGGCAAAGCACAGGGACCACGGTTCGATCCCCCAGCACCACATGCCAGCCAGACCCGCCCCCTGGTGGGCTGAGCTGGCCACACACACACACAATAAATAAATGTAATAAATAAAAATAAATAAATATTTAAAAAAAAATAAAATGTTAGAGGATGTTAGCCATGCTTCCTAACCAAAAAATATTTTAAATGGAGCATTTTCTAAAGTTAAGTGTTGCACTTTTAATTAGATTTGGACATTGTTTAGGGAAGAGAGTAAGCTTTTTTGGGGCTTCAAATACAAGATAGTGCACATTTTTTATTGTACAAACCACCATCCCCTCCCCAACCTACACTTGCCTTTTCTGAGTCTCAAAATAACTCAATGGAAAATTTCAGGAGCGAACAATCCACAGGTTTACACTGCTCCGCGTAGTGACGTCATTTCCTGCTCCCCCCCCACCGCCCTTGGTCCAGCACCATGCCACTTGCCCGTTAGTCCCTTGTCATCAAACTGATGCCACACGAGAGTGGGCCTTGTGTTCCAGTGACCCAACTTCTCCTTCATTGTGGCCCCAAAGCACAAGAGCTGCCGGGGAGATGGCTCAGTGGAGTAAGTGCTTCCTTGGCAAGCACAAGGACCTGAGTTCAATCCCTGGTTCCACAAACCAAACCAAACCAAACCAAACCAAACCAAACCAAACCAAACCAAACCAAACCAAACCAAACAACCCAAAAGAGCACTGGGCTGGTAATTTCTGCCAGACAGAAGCGGGACGGCTTTCTGTAAATGAAAGTTCTTGACTGGATAAGAAAACAACAGCAACAACAAAGTCTATATACCATGGTTGCTAATGTAGCAAGAATGAATAGGAAGAAAAAAAGTGTGTAAGGATTATCTACTCGGTGTCTTTAAAAATGTACTCTGGATAAGGAAAGAACTATGTGATTTGCTGATAACCAATTTAATCTTCTTGAAGGAAGAAGAAGAAAGTGAAACTTTTGAACTAAGCAGAGAATATGAAGAATTAATCAAATTAAAAAGAAGTGGTTCTATTCAAGCTAAAAACCTAAAAAGCAAGTTTGAGAAAATCGGACAATTGTCTGAAAGAGAAATACAGAGAAAGATAGAAGAGGAGAGAGCGAGAAGGAGAGCAACAGACCTTGAAATTAAAGAGCGAGAAGCTGAGAACTTCCACGAGGTGCGCTGCTTTCCTATTTGGCGGTTATAAGTACAGTGATCAATTTACAAATAATGATTTTGCAGTTTTAGTGCTTACAACTAATCCCTGGCATATACAATAATATGGAAATTAGAAAAATCACATTATAGGGACCAGAGAGATAGCTCAGTGGAATAAGTGCTTGCTTGGCAAGCGCAAGGTCCTGAGTTTAATCCTTGGTACTGCAAAA